CTGTCATGGCGTCTTGAATGTCGTCACGCCGTGCAAAGCAAACAATACGCTGTACGCCGACTGTTAAAATTATTTACTTAAAAATGAATCCATCGTATTACAAGTACTGTATAGTGTCCTAGTGTAGAAGGACAAGCATAAAACACCAGGCAAATTATTTATATGCCATAAATGCGGAAAAAATGGTTAGAACTTGCAAGGAGGGATGGTACCTATTCATTGTTTATCAACACATACAAGAATAATTTTGTGATGAACATTTTGATGTAAGTATTTTGCATTACATAATCTATGAAATCAAAATTTTATACAAGCCGGATAAATTATATTGCATTATATTGATAAAACAATAACAATAGGTTGAGATTAGGTAAGTTGATTTAGTTTTATTGTATGATTTAGAGTCTATTTGAGAGTTCAGTATATTTATTCATAATAATAAACACTTCTTATTCTTCTAGTTGCCAAATGACGTGCTTAATTATGTCGAGTAGTTATGCAATTATTTTTTTATTTTGGTCTAAATATTATTATTTGCATCGGTGAATCCCAATTCCATGGATATATTAGGCTTCCTTTCAATAATTATCTGAAAATAAACTGTTAAATTGTATCAAAGTAACAATAACATGAATGAGAAATCAATGAAATGTATGAAAACGGCAACCACAAGTAATGTTTTGCACATGGTGACGTCAGTCTTTCTGATTGGTATTTGCCGTCACGTGATCTAATGCCTATTTTAATCGAATTTATTTTTTAAAAATAATAATAATCTTTAATTATTATGATAAATAGCTTTATTTTTTGTTATCTGTATATCATAATTCATATTTAGAAACTGTAACCCTTTCGATTTATTGTTAGTTGACACAAGCCTATTCTGGTGGTATATATTTGTTTCTTAGACTTTCACGCACATCAATCATTAAATAAAACTAGTTTTAACGGGTTAATGCACGAAACTTTATTTATTTATTGGCCTTTTTAGGTCTGCATCGTCAGAATACTGATTTTTTATATAATTTTGTCGAGCTACCTTCGAAAGACTTTTATTGAGCGTTCGGTTGTTTAATTGGAAGATTTTTAAAATATTATTGTCTATGTATGAATTTATTAGTTAATTTAGTTAATAAAGTACTTTATTTAAAATTATTTTTAGTAATTATGAGTTTATTTATTTGGCCCTAACTACCGTAAACTACTACCGGTTCCAAAATTGGGAGACCTTTCTGAGAAGAACCGGCGAAACAAACTCCGAGAGGCTTTGTATCTCTTTCTTATGTTAAATGTCAATAAATAAAAAAAGTTTCGTGCATTAACCAGTTAAAACTAGTTTTATTCACGTGATATTATTTAACGGGAATTGTATTAAAAAAAATCTAACAAACATATTTCCATGATTAAGCAAGAAGTAAAATTTGAAAAGCATCCCGTTCAGGTGAGCCTCTTTACGTCGGGCGGGCGCACCTGTAATATCCTACGTGACCGCAGCGAGCACTATTTGATTTTCATTGATAAAAATTGGGCTCCCTTTGTGCAAGTTAATGGTCGAAATTATGGAAAATGTTTTATGCCCCAAGATGGGTCTTTGTAATGTTTGTGAAGGCGACGATTTATCGCGCGATTTGCATTTTGTTTTCGGGTAGTGAATGAAAGAAGAAATGTGTCACATGCTCCCAGCCTTTTTCGTGTATAAATTTTGTACTGATAAAATGTCACAAAGCCAGATTTAAATAGACCGCTCTCGAACAAAGCACCTGTTTAATGTCTTTTTTTTTGGAGTGACGCCCTTTGATACAATGTACGAAATAAATTCGTATAATCCTAAGAAATGGAAAATATTGATGTTTATAATGACTTTTTATTTCTTTGACCAAGGACTTGGATAAAATTTGTAGTACAAAGAAATTAAATTCTTTTATGGGGATGAAAGAAAGAATTCATCTGCAGCCTTTTTAGGGACAGGCTTACTCAGAAAAGTGTCAGAACTACTTGTTTATCTATGGGACCCCTCGTACAGGGTTGGTAGCGAGCTTGTTACTTCTAGTGTGGAAGGTTTATATGGGCTTCGGTGGTCGCTGACCATAAGGCCCATCGCATGTTTTTTACCAATCATGAGACAACAAGGCGATGGGCTGACAACTTTCTACCACTACTACTGTTAATATTAGATAGATTAATCCCGATTTTACAGACGTGGGCACTGACACGGTCGTTTTGCCCGAGAGCGTGTGCTATGAGAGTATACAATTTTTTTTGTCCCAACGCGTTCGATTTTCTGTGAAATGAAATTGATGCCATCAGCTGATATGCATAATAATATAATGACGTTTAAATTTCTGTGATAAAAGACAATACCTATTAAAAAGGCATAGAAGCGGAGCTTTATACGATTATGTGTGTGTGCGAGCACTAGCGGCCTTTTTTTTTTGATACGCTGGGGAAATGCATTAAATTGCATACCACATGGTGGTTATGTGGGGCTCTCCTCCCCAGAAGGGGAGGCCTACCCACTAAAACCCCAGCGATGGCCGCCATCAGGCATTGTACGGGGCCTCAGGATCGAGTATCACATCTGAGGACCCACAGCCTTTGCTCCCCTGCTTCCACCAGGGGAGCCCTTCTCGGGGGAGTGTTCGCAACCTCCCCCATCCACTTTCCTACGACGACACGTCGCTTCCATGAGCACAAGCTCCGTCGTGCTCACCAGCGACCCGCGGCGGTGCATCAGACCATTATCTGGCGCGACGCTGCCTTCTTTGAGCGGGATCGGCTATCTCCCGATCCCGCTCGGCGGCCTCCTTCTGGAGCATCATCACTTCACAGAAGGAGGCCGCAGCCCTCCAACCTCCCTCATCCGCCAGCATTGCCGCAATCAATGCTGGCGGAGACAGATCTTGCCCGATTTCTGTCGCGTACGCAGGAAACATTTCTATTAGCGGCGACTGGCTGCCACTGCTTACTCACACACGCGCGCTGCACGAAACTTTGCTTCTGTGCCTTCTTAAGAACTCCCTTTCATAGGTACGTTATTATTGGACGATAATAATGGATGCGTTATTGCGATATCTGTTTTTAATACGTTGTGTATGAGAACGGATATAAAGTTAATAAAGATAATGGTATCCATTATCAAGTGCCAGCTCCTTCGGTACCTGAAGGACCAACAACTGATCAGCGACCACCAGTACTGTTTCCGTAGAAGTCATTCGGCTGGTGATTTTCTATAATACTTGTCGCATCATTGGGACATGATTCATATTGATGGCATTCATTGCTTTGTAGATGACAGCATAGGTGATGCCTTTTATGCGGACATACAGCGCACTGCGAGTCCAATATAATAACACGTTCAGGATGTTGTTCTGTCTGCCGCGTTATTGCAGTGCGTCGTCTATGTTTGCCGAGGCGCGTATTGATTGCTTTTACACGATCATTAGAAAGCGCTGCGCCTCGCTGTGGGCGCGCGTGCGCGACAGATCCAACAGTGTCCTGAGCGCACTGGCTGACCGATGGGACTCCCCACTGTTGCGACACTGGCTTAAGCTACATTCGCCAATCTTATATAAATTATTTATAATATAATTATTTATAAATAACAGACGAGTCCCATCGGAATCCGAATGTGTTATTTGTTGTATTTGTGTTCGATTGTACTTTTTCATTTACTTACACTAGAATAAGATTTAGTCTGTCACTAACACTTGTACATATGGATTTAGAGTCTGAAATAAATGTTTATTGTTATTATTATATACAGACCGCGCCAATAATTTACGGGAAAACGTATTGGAGAGCTGAAACAAACTTGTGTCGAAAGTTGAGATTTTGCTCAAAGAAGTATCAAATTCATCAATCATCATAAACAGCCCATCTTAGTCCACTGCTGGACATAGGCCTCTCCAAATTCACGCCACTCAGATCGCTCTTGGGTTACTCGCATCCAGCTCCTGCCAGCCACCTTGCGCAAATCGTCACTCCATCGTGCCTGAGGACGTCCTACACTACGTTTGCCTAGATGCGGTCTCCTCTCCAGACTCAGTACTACTCCAGTATCAAATTTGGGACGACTTAATCTAGTCCAATTTAACCCCACTAAAAAAATACAATTTGTCGTATCCCCCCTTTTTGAGAACACTCCCTTTACCCTCTCAGCTATTATCGGTATTCCCTCAGGATTGCATCCAGCGCCGAGCGGCTTTCATTCCTTTCCGATAAGCTTGATCCTTTGGCTTTGCGTAGAGATGTAGCTTCGTTCTACATCTTCTATCACATTTATCACGCAGAGTGTTTCGAGGAATTGTTCGGATTAATACCAGCTGCTGCTTTTCGCTATCGTACATCGCGACAAAAATATCGTCCCCCCATCTTGATGTGTGGCTGTCAGCATTGCGTTTTTGTCGATTTTTTTTACCACGTACGACAAAACTATGGAATATATTGTCACCAGCAGTGTTTCTCGGCCAATACGACCTGAAAATTTTCAAAATAGGAGTGTACGCCTTTTTTTAAGGGCCGGCATCGCATTTGTGATACTCCTGGTGTTACAGGTAAATGAAGGATGGCGATCACCAGTGTTGCCGTTTTGGCATATTTAATGCTAAATTTAGCATGTTTTCACGTCAATTAGCATGTTAAATTTAAACTTAGCATATTGCATTTTTTAGCATTTTTGTTTGCCAAGCAACCTAGAGGTTTAAAAGTGTAATTTTATAATATCAACCAAAACCAAACAAATATGTTGATCGTCTATGTCGCGCGGCGTCGCGTATCACCTTGTCGCACGTCTGTAAGCGCCCTAATTCCTGAACGTGGCCCAAGGGGGATTTCCCGTTAACTCGATTGTTTATGTTTAAGTTCATACGTTCGGTCAGGTCAGTCACAGTCATATTGCGAGTTACTTAAGTACTACGTTACGCTTGACTCAAGACGACGAAAGTGATTGCGCATATATTTTGAGAGATTTTTTGTTCGTTTATACATATTTAGTGAGAATCATGCCTCCCAAATATTCACAACATTATCGTGAGGAATGGGAACAGATGAGGGAGTTTAAGGATTGGCTGTCACCAGTCCAAGATGATGCCACTAAAGCCTACTGCAAATACTGTAAGTGTAACATTATTGCAAAACTATATTGTTTAAAACAACACATTTCTACAACTAAACATGTGAAGTCTGTCGAGCCCATGAAAAGTCAAACAAAAATTAAATTTGCCAAAATTCAAACCCGCCTCGATACTCAAAATCTTGCACATTTTATTTGCGAGCATGCTGCAATTTTAACGGTGGATCACCTATCGGATATGTGCAAAAAAACATTTTCTGATAGTAGAAGTACAGAGAACATGAAGTTACACAGAACAAAATGTACCAATATTATAAATAATGTCTTGGCACCGCACTTTGTATCTGAATTAATAAAAGATGTGGGAGATGCAAAGTTCAGCATATTAATAGACGAATCTACAGACATATCAGTCACAAAAATTCTCATGTCTCGGCATGTCAATTCGATACTATAGCCAGACGAAATAAAATATTATAACAACATTCTTAGGTTTGGTTGAAATTGAGGACGGGACAGCCATTGCCATAGTCAATGGCATAAAGACGCTATTTACACTATTAAATTTAAATATAAGAAATTGAATAGGTATTGGAACCGACAATGCTACTTCTATGACTGGTGTCAACAACGGCGTTCACTGCCTTCTGAAATCTGAATTTGGCAATAATAATCTAGTATTAGTACGGTGCTTATGTCATTCTTTACAGTTGGCTATTACTCATGTGTCTGAAGAAACTCTACCACGTAATATCGAGTTCTTGATACGAGAAACCTACAATTGGTTCAGCCATTCTTCTAAAAGGTAACTGTTCTACAAGGAAGTTTATAAAACTATAAACTGTGGCAAAGAACCCTTAAAAATTACCCGAATGTGTAATACCAGGTGGTTGTCCATTGAACCTGCTGTTCGTAGAATAGTAGGTCAATGGTTGGAACTGAAAACCCATTTTGAAATTGTGAAATAAAAAGAAAATTGTTACATGGCAGATATGCTTTCCTCAATGTACAATGATCCCATCAATCATCTGTACCTACTATATTTGCTACCAATTTTGGATGAAGTACAAAAAGTGAATAAACATTTTGAAAGCAATGACAGAGACCCCGTCAAACTTCTTAATGATTTGGTTGAATTGGTTGAGTCGGTGGCAAGACGAATTTTGATGCCAACAGCATCAGCCAGAGTAAATATTTTGACAGCTGATAACATCACCAGTTACCTGGATCCATCTCCATACATGGGTTTCAGTGTTGAAAGTGGAATTACGGAATACCATCTTTCTTCAGAATCAGTTCAGAATCTACGATATCGTTGCAAACAATTCACGTTAAAGCTTGTTCAGGAAATGCGATCAAGGTTGCCAGTAAATTTTCAAACATTGAGAAAAATGAACACGTTTTCTGTACGGGAAACTTTGAAAGCAATTAAACCAGAAATTGTTGACGTTGTTGAAGAGTTTGGTTACAACGCAGTCATTATAGAGCGTTTTGTGGCGCAGTGGCGAAATATTAGTCACATAGACTGGAAAAACAAAAATTCAACGATAGAGTTCTGGTCCGAGGTCTCTGATTACAAAGACTGTGCCGACAACAATCCATTTCTGGAGTTGGCATCTTTGGCAATGTCAATCCTTTGTCTTCCGCACTCCAATGCAGAAGTAGAAGAGTGTTCAGCCAAATGAATGTGGTAAAAACTAAACTGAGGAATCGGATGTCCTTAACTACATTAATTCTGCATGTCAGATATGGACTCCGAAGATCAGGCAAATTTTGCCATTTGTATGTTATTCCTGATGACGTGCTAAAACTTATTAAGGGTGAACATGTAGTGTCTGCTGAAAGTGGCCCATCAACGTCACAACAAAACGAAACTGTTGACGACCAACAAATATTGTTCGAAGAAGATGATTAAGTTTTTTTTTTTAATAAATACTTTAAAATTAAATTAGCATTTTATTTAGCACTTCAAAAAATTTATTTAGCATTTTTTAGCATTTTGCGGGCGAAAAGTTAGCATTTTCTCAAATTATAAAACGGCAACACTGGCGATCACTTTTTTTATAGACCGACAAATGTTTTCACCCCGCCTAATGTTAAATGACGGTGAACTCCAAACGCGAAGATAGCGGGTACAGCAGTTAAAGTCAGGTAAGCCGACAGCTCGTATGTCTCCTATAATATAAAAAATACACATTGCTGCGATAATAATGACGCAATAGAAGTATGACGAAATATCGCAATAACGCATTCGATATTATCGAGCGCTAATAACGCCTAAGGACGAAAGATTTTCCTCAGGTGGCCGTATCCCGAACAAAGTAGATAGAATGGAGTCAACGCCACATCGCTAGCACGATACTCGCATAAATCAATTGCTTGCTTTACATTCATAGATTCAAGCTCTTTCATATTATTATACGTTCTCGAATTTTTTAGTTTCTATCTTTAAAATGTGATCAATTCGACCGTGGTAGGTGAGTATTGACCTTTTCCGGCTTCTATGTACTGCTACTATTGTTCATAAAAAATTAAATGTAGCCTGTTATGTATATAATAGGGATTATAACGGGCTAAATTAAATATAATACTATTTAATCCGTCAGTTAGATTATCAAAGAATTACACTTATTTATTTATTTTATCATACAACCATAAAGTGGGAGTGAGAGCGGCCACGTGACGTCACTTCTTAGTAAAAATTGAACCAAGACGTGACGTCACGCGACATTTCAAACCAGTATATACATATATTTCTGTAATGTTTTGTTTATATGAATAAAGAAAAAATACGTGTTCAATACTTTTTCATAATCTAACTGAAATACGAAAAAAAAAGTTACTCATCATCTTCTATAGTAATGCTAAAGCATCAGTGAGGTAAATAAACCTCGCAAGAGTCCGTACGAGATATTATAGCAAGACATCCAATGTTAGGAGTGTTATTTATTATATAATTTATACTATTATTTGCTATCTTTATATCCTTTGGCGACCTCCGTTGTCGAGTGTTTTGTACGCCGGGTTTCATGGTGCCGCCGACTCGAGAGGTCCCGGGTTCGAATCCCAATGGGGGCAGATGTTTCTGTAATGAATACACCGCATATAATTTGTATTTCTTTATAAATATACGTATATATGTACAGTATATGTATTCTATCCGTTACCCTAGTATCCCACAACACAAGCCTTATGGTGCTTACTTTGGGGCTAGGCTAAGTGGTGTGAGTGTTGGAAATATTTATTATTTATTATTATAATCTAACATTTTAGAGAACGAAGAAGAAAAATCTAGAAGTCTAATTATCTATCCAGTTCTATCCAATAGAATAGACTAATTGTGCACGTCAACTGTGTATTCAAGAACAAGAACAATAACAGAATAGTAAAAGAACTCACAGTTAATAGTGAAAAGAGATTGAAGTTTTATAGCAAGCAAGATTGAAGTGATATGAGCAAGTTAAGCTAAGTATTAGAGAACGTACATACAAGTTACGATCAAGAGAACAAGTGAATAAATAACAATGTAAGTAACATAGTGGAAGTATAGTTGAGTATAGAACACAGTGCAAATTGCTACACTTTACATTTTTAAGTCAAACGAAACGAAAAAGAAACAGCGGATAGTATCAGCGACCGAATCCGCAAAAGAGAGAAAAGAATCTGAAGAGATTTGGTACAGAAACGATGAATATGAATCGACCGACCCGGTGAGGAAAACGCCGTATTAGATAACAATATCAAAAAAATATTAACAATATAATCCTAAAGAAAATTTAACTAGAAAACAGTTCACGCGAACCAGGCAGTAGAGAGGACTAGAACCCGCCCCCTACGCAACGGATGCACTGACCATTATGCTTCCGTGGCCCAAATTGTCCGTGTTGAATTTTCTCTACCATTTCCTAGCCTCCAAGGCAGCGCCATCTCTTCGCAATGTAGGTAACCCACAATGTCAAATGAATACCTTTACAAGTAGTAAACATTTGAAAGAAGAAATAGCAATCATAGTATTGTTATAGTAAATAATATCGAAAATAAACCTGTTTATGAATATCAGAATTTAGAACACTGTTAGGTTTAGAACTACTTCTCGCATTACAATGAAACATTCATGTTTTGATTTGTTCTAGTTTTGTAATTCTATTTGAGAGTCATACACAAAATGTTATTAAATTAAGTTAAAATATTTTCCTTTTACTGCACGAGCAAAGCGGACAATCGTGAATAACTTTTGTTTACAATGTTGCATGAAAGCAATCCAGAGGTCCAGCAAGTTTTGTAGTCTTGCTTGATATCATTTGTGATAAAATCTAAATTTATGTTTGCTTAACTGAATTATTGAGCATATTTGACGGATGTTTTATTCTATTATCGTGCAGGCAATTCGGTAGGTATATTAACTTCAATAAAATCCTAAACATATTCGGCGTAAACACTTGGACCCAGGAAAGAGTTTAATTTTCCAAGTAATTTCCTTTGTGTATTGCAAATTTACATCAAATTAAGTTTTGTAAAATTATTACTTAATTAATAACAAAAATTCGGTGAAATAGTCTTTGTATTGCCTAAACGCTTTTTACCCCGGAAATGAGGGGTATTATATTATAAGATTGACGTATTTTTTTTTATAGATTGGTCCGACAAATGACTCCACACCACCTGATGTTAAGTGATGGTGAAGTCCAGACGCGAAGATAGCTGATACAGAAGTTCTACCTGCCACATCAGCCATCCTCACCCTGCCGACCTGCATGTTGTTTCTTCATGCCTCTTTTGAAGGATCCCAGGTTGTAAGAGGGAGAGAACACGAGAGCGGGCAGAGCATTCCATTTACGGATAGTGGGACAGAGAAAAATGAGTTACCAAACTTCTTTGTACGCCTTTAAATATTGGCCACAGTAAGTCGGTGGCAACAAAGGCCAGCGCGCGTGGTCCTCTGACGGAAAGGGGAAGGGAGAATAAGAGAGAATAACTCTTCAGAACACTCACAGAGGTACAGGCGATAGAACGCGCTTAATGACGCCACATCACGGCGTAATTGAAGAAGCTCGAGGTGTTTGGTCACCTCGTATCTGTGTGTCTATGTCTGTGGCATCGTAGCTCCTAAACGGTAACATTTCGGTGATAGCGAGCATCAAGTCCTCAGCTACTTACAGCAAATGTAGCGTGTTTAGTTAGGCTAATAAAAATGTTCTCTGTGAATAAATGACGATGGAATTTTAATGATTCCAACAAAAATAATGAAAAATACTACTTTTTTAGCGGTCCTCCGATTTGTAAATGTCTGGGCCTAACTATTGTAGGGCTAAAACATTTTATTGTTTCACTTTTGAAATTATTTTTGGAAGTCGGGGTTTTTATAACTCTTCAATTTATTTTTTGTAAGCACCTGTTTCGTACGAAGCACACTAGCGCCTCGCTTAAATGCCGAAAGGCTAAGAGCGCTTCAGAAGCGTGACGTCAGCAACTCAGACAACTTTAAATTAGAACGAACACCGGTAATATTGTACGTGACTGTAGGCTTGAGATAAGTGCCGAGATGGCATGGTGAAACGTGAACGTGCAAAATTATAAAACATTCATACATTTAAGAATTTTACTTATACCTGTGATCCCAACTTTAATAATAATACTATTTTGTTGATATTATTAAAACCTGTCATAATCATCAGTTTATTAATCTGTAACTATTGCTGGAACAATATAATTTATAGCCTCAGTGGAACTCGAGATGATAAATTTTCCGTTGCATTTGCCATTGCAAAAACCGCTCACACTAACTACTGCGCCATCGAGCTCCTCAACCTATAATTTAATATCTCGATGACTCCATCCGACTTAGGATATCCGACAAATCGGATAGTATCGGAAGCTGTATTACTTGCTTGTAATAGTTATCATCATCATCATCTCAGCCGTAGGACGCCCACTGCTGTGCATTGATAGGCCTCCCCCAAGGATCTCCACATCGATCAGTCCTATGCTACGCGTATACATCAGCTTCCCGCGATCTTCACCAGATCGTAAAGGATATAATATAGCAAAATTGAAGATACAGCATGCGAGTTATTTTAATCCCTCTGTACATATTTGGCAAAGTTTCCGCTGTACATATTATGCAAATAACTGGACCCGGACCTGGAGCCCGCACAGTAGTCTACCCGGGCTGCCAGAGGCATGGAGCATCCGCGTTCCGACGGACACCGCACCGTCGCAGGGGCCAGAACAAAGTGGACTACTGGCACCCGAACCAGTAGCCCTCAGACCCCCATTATCTCTTTACCTACCTGTACCTAACCACCTACCCCGTGAAGCCCTAGAAATCTTATTCACCGTAAAAAACACAACACCACCATAATGAGCTTTATCGCAAGGTGTAGATTATTACTGCTTATTGTCTAATTTTATACAAAAAAACCCTCACAAAGTTAAATCGAGTGTTAATATGACATAATATGAGCGACATGAGTACAATTTTGAAGATAACTAGGCGACTGGAGGCTTGTACGTAATATCTATGAAATCAATCAATAATCCTTTGTGCAGCAATTTAAATTTATTTCTGTTGTTGTTTGTTTTGCTGCTTGGATCTTTCAATATTAGTTTCATAGGTATTTTCATAAAGATTTAAATTTAATAATCTGAAATGATAAATGATTGCCTCAGTGGAGACCTCACATTT